GCTTGGGCCCTGCACCCACGTGGGAGACCCAGAGGAAGCTCCTGGCTTCTGGCTTCAGCCTAGCTCAGCTCTGGCCATTGCATCTATTTGGGGAGTGAACCAACGGATAGAAGATCTCACATTCTCTGTCTCTGTCTCTCTGGAACTCTTTCAAATAAATAAACAAATCTTTTTAAAAAATAAAATAAATAAACCAAAAGTACATCATTGTAAAAATCAAAAGCAAGAATAAGAAAGGGAGGTGAAAGGACAATGAGAGTGTGGGTAAAAGGGAGGGTAGGATGAGAAGTTAGATGAGGGTAGGATGAGATGATTACTATGCTCCTAAATCTGTATATATGAGTTCATGAAATTTTTTCATCTTATATAAATAATAATAATAATAAAAAAGAATCAGGCTGATCTACACCAAACTTTGCATGTAGAAACCATAAGACTCTCAGTAAGAAAATGGGTACCTGCTGCAAAACCTATCAGAAATAACCTCTCTGCCAAGTCTCTGGACAGCAAGAATGCCAAAGGACCCAGAAACAAATCACCCTGGCCCACACAACGACAGCAAGACAGTTCCAAACTTACTGGTAGAGCAAGTCTGCTGCTAGTAGGAAATATATGCAACTTGACATTTTATATGACTATTATATAAAAACATATAGAAACATTAAAAACATATAAACATTAAAAACATTATTTTTTTAAAAAAGTTTCAAAGCTTATTGTCATAAAACAAGGAAACTATATGTAGTCTGTGCAAGGCATAAAATTGTATTTATAACAATAGAATGAGTTCAAACTTTATTGCTAATAAACAGAGACATTATATTTTCTTTTTTTTTTTTTTTTTTTTTTTTTTCAACACAATAACACAGACATTTATTTATACAAGGATATTATTTGCAAAATTATTGCAGTGGTGAACATTTTAGACTCTAATAGCCACTAACAGGAAATAAACTACATAAAATATGATATATCCATGTAGTGGAATTCTCTGAAGCCTGTAAAAAGAATGAGGTACCACCACAACAATTCTAAAATAGAAGGATATTTAATAACATATAATTCAGCAAAAAGCAAGTTATAAGGTAGTATACATAGTAAGAATACATTTCTGGGGATAAATTAATTAAAAACTATATTGAGAAAAATTCAGAAAGGTGCACCACATTATTAACCGTGGCTATCTCAAGGAAAGATATTATAGACAATTTTCATATTTCATGTTAAAAATTTCTTCATTGTTTGGAATCTTCACAATAAACATTTATTAGTTCTATGTTTAGAAAAAAATAAGTTCATCAGAGAATAGGTTTCATTATAGTCTTTAACAGTGCTATTTGCTATCAGGTTTTTTGCTTCCAGCATTTCCTAGCTTATTGAATTCTCTTTTATGTGTTTTGGGGATCAAAAATGGGCTAAATTCCCTTGGTGTCCTAACTTTTTGTCTTAGATTCACTTAATTTATTTATTTGAAAGGCAGGGAGAGAGAGACAGAGAGTTCCCATCATCTGTTTCATTCCCCAAATGTCTGCAATGACTGGCATTTGATGGGGATAGGAAACTTAATCCAGGTCTCCCAAAAGGGTGGCAGGGACCAACCTGAGTCATCAACACTGTCTTCCAGAGTCTTCATTAGCATAGAGATGGAATCAAGAACTAGATTTGGGAATTAAATTCCAGACACTTCAATGTGGGATTCAGGTATGCTAACTGGCATCTTAATCACTAGGCAAAACATCTGCCATTATCTTAGATTTTAAAGTCCTAGCTGTTAGAAGATGTTCAGAACACCATTCACAAACTCCATTCAAGTTACTCATGTACACTACCATTCCAACCTGGAGAGAAGACTGTAGTCAAATAGTAATCATTAATACTATTCATTGGTGTGTACTATAATTAAAAATGATTCATTTGGTGTTTATTATCTGACTATGGACATAATGGGTACTTGAAAAACATTTTTCTTTAACAGACCCTGAAAATGTATTAGGAACATAAAAGTAATAACCAAAAATATGTTTTTGTTCCACTTAGAAGTAATTAGGCAGTAAAGTTAGATTATATGCTTTGTTACAACATTGTGATGACAAGGCTCATTTCCACTGTCACCTCCTATACTGGGCTCCATAGGAGCCAGTATTGTGGCACAGAAGGTTAAGCTGTCACTTGCAACACCAGGTATTCCATATTGGAAAGCTATTTACACTCCCAGCTGCTCTGCTTCTACCAGATCCAACTCCCTGCTGATGTTCCTGGGAAGGCAGCAGAGGGTGACCCAAGGACTTGGCCCCTGCCACCCATGTGGGAGACCCAGGTGGAATTCCAGATTGCTGGCTTCAGCCTGGGCCAACACCAGCCTTTGCCATTGTTTGGGGAGTGAAACAGTGGATGGAAGATTTCTTTCTCTGTTACTCTGCCTGTTAAATAAATAAACAAATCTATCTTATAATATGCTTTATAGCAAAGAACTATAGAAATTACTTAACTAACATTTGGCACCAAAAAAATCACATCAAAAACTGTAATATAAACAGATAAGGTTGCCCACTTTGAAAATATGACAGGCTAAAAATCATAGAAATACCTCCAGAATAAAACATCTAGAAATGCTGGATAAAAATAAACTGACTTTTGTTTGTGTGTGTGTGTATTTTGCTGTTTTATGGGCAGTGAATTTCCAAGAAAGAAGAGAAATCCTTGAAGGCCAAAAATTAAGAGAACACAGGAAAGTACCATGGTTAGAAGCATTACTTATACAACTCCCTGAAGACAAAGGGAACAAAGGGAGTCAAAGGGAACACATAGACAAGTCTAGTACCTGCTAACGCTAACCGATGGAGTAAATAAAGGGGAGAGTGATCCAACATGGGAAGTGAGATACTCAGCAGACTCATAGAATGGCAGATATCCTAAATAGCACTCTGGCCTCAGAATCAGCCCTAAAGGCATTCGGAGCTGGCTGAAAAGCTCATGAGAGTATTTCAGGCATGGAAAGCCAAGACACTCTGGCAAAAGATCTCTGTGAGTGAGATCCCAGTGGAAAGAACAGGTCTTCAAAGAAGGAGGTACCTTTCTCTGAAGGGAGGAGAGAACCTCCACTTTGACTATGACCTTGTCTAAACAAGATAAGAGTCGGAGAACTCAGAGGGCTTCCATAGCCTTGGAAACTCATGACTGGAGCATAGGGAGATTACTGATGCCATAGACAGGAGTGTCAATTGGTAAAGTCAACAACAGGAGTCACTGTGCACTTACTCCTCATGTAGGATCTCTATCCTTAATGTGCTGTACATTGAGATTTAATGCTATAACGAATACTCAAACAATATATTTCACTTTGTGTTTCTATGGGGGTGCAAACTGTTGAAATCTTTACTTAATGCATACTAAACTGATCCTCTGTAAAAAAAAAAAAAAAAGAAAAAAAAAAAAGAAATTATCAATTCCCAACTTGACTCTCACTGGGATTAAACATGACAATAGGTCTGCTCTGATTTCATCATCATTTAAAAAAATCATCTATTATTTTTCACTTTATGTTTCTGTGTGGGAGCAAACTGTTGAAATCCATACTTAATGTATACTAAGCTGATCTTCTGTATATTAAGATAATCGAAAATGAATCATGATGTGAATGGAAGGGGAGAGGGAGTGGGAAAGGGGAGGGTTGTGGGTGGGAGGGACGGTATGGGGGGGAAGCCATTGTAATCCATAAGTCGTACTTTGGAAAATTATATGCATTAAATAAAAGTTCTTAAAAAAAAAAAAAAAAAAAAAAAAAAAAAAAGAAAAGGACTTATCCCCACTCACAGCCAAGGCTGAAAGCTAATAATATAATGTGCAGTGTTTATTTTCTTGGGGTTATTTTCTAAATTAACCACTTAGTGAAAATAGAAGCTTTGAGAGTATCAAATTTAAGTAGACGTTTATATTCATTTTTAGATTCTGTAAGCTAGTGGTCTAATAACCTGTTCAGTTGCCTGTTAATAATTCTAGACTACAGAAATTTGAGACATTATATTTTCAACACAAAGAATAAAATTGCATTTGTGGTAATAAGTGTCCCTTCTCCTGGTCTCTGAGTAAACCAGAGCTGTGTACTTCTCTTTCTTTTTCCCTCTTTTCAAACCTACTTTACTTGAATTATAATCTAATCTTAGATGGATGAATTAATATTTAAACCTTTTTTCAAATAAACTGTTTTCACATGTAATTTTGTTAAAAATATGCATTAAACTTCTCCAAAGTGGGAAAAAAAATCAGTTACTTCATAACTCAAACAGCACCAGAGGCTAAATACTTCCATGGAGTAATTTGTTGTAGAGCTTAAGGGAAGACAGAAGGGACTTTGTAAGGTATAAAATTATTATGATCACTAAGCAGAAAAAATTTAAACATTTTAGATTGTTGAATATTATTATGTTTATGTGACAATCATATTATTTTTCAAGCTGAAAGTGTGTCATACCTACAATAATCTTTAAGATTAATTAATTTTAAAAACTATCCATAACATAATATTTATGATTCAAGAGTACTTTCTCTGGAAATGACCTGAAATATTATAACCTTATCTTCTATTCCTGCCTTAAATTTATTTAAAAAGCAAACACTTTAAAGATACTTTGTTCTGAAATAATACAGCAAATTCAAGTAAAAGTATCAGGTTAGAAATGTATTTTAAAGCTGTGGTTTCTAATTTTGAAATACATATATGCTTTTGAAATATACAATAATTAGGTAGTCTAAGAGGAAAGAAGATAATAGAAACACTAATTACAATCTTTGTATTTAACCAGAATGTATGTTAGTCATTGAAAAGAGTTTCCAAGGGTAAAAGGCATACTATTAATTAATGCAAAAATGACTTTACAATGGATAAGAATATACTATTTCCCTATTAAGAGAAAAAATATTTTAAATGTGTAAACAAATTTCAGAAAATATACTTATGAATCATCTTTAGTTTTGGGTGGTAAAGAAAAAAAATCATATACCCTGTTTTGATAGGTAGCACATTTCCAGTCTTTGCTCATGAGATAATCCATAGAGTAGGTATGCTTCTTGTAGTGCACTGTTATACCACTTCTTTTTATTCATACAGTTTCCTGGCTATGTACAGAAAAAAGAACATTCATTTTAAAATATATAATTTTGTTTTAAAATTCACATTAAAGTATTAATCTAGAAGTAAATCTAATTTGGAACAATGTAAAATACATTACTTAAATTTTGGTCCTGATTCTGATTATTTTAGAAGTTAAGAAAATTGTGGGAGTTTTGCAAATTTAAAGGGTCAGATGCTTGTTCACTAAGATGGTATTACAATATGACTCATCTCATACTTTAAAGGTTACAGAAATCTAAAGGACCTAATGTACCCAAACAGTCAATATTAATGCATTTTGTTAGTATAATATTGATTCCTTTTTAAGTGACATAACGATGATTCTAAAGTAGGAGAAACTGAAAATTTTCTTATTATATAAAAACTAAGTGCATTTGCATCTAATTTTGGGGTTACCACAGATATTAACACACTGAGACAGTTTCTTAAGCTTTCTGCACTCCAGTTTCCCACCTCTAAAATGTGAATAATGACCACATCATAAGTTTCCATAAGTATTAAATTATATAATAGATGATAGCTTTCTGGAATTGTAAGAACTTATAAGTCATTCTACTCAGATACAGCATATGCTTAAAACATCTAGTTTTTTTTTTTTTTTTAAAAGAGGAAAATAGAATCAAAGCAACTCTGGATTAAAAATGACTATAAGGCTGGCACCGTGTCGTAAGCAGGTAAAGCCACTGCTTGCAGTGCTGGCATCCCATATGGGCGCCGGTTCAAATCTGGCTGCTCCACTTCTGATCCAGCTGTCTGCTATGGGCTGGGAAAGCAGTGGAAATGGCCCAAGACTTGGGCCCCAACACGCGCATAGGAGACCTGGAAGAAGCTCCTGGCACCTGGCTTCGGATCGGCACAATTCTGGCCATTGTGGCCAACTGGGGAGTGAACAAGTGCATGGAAGACCTCTCTCTCTCCTTGCCTCTCCTTCTCTCTGTGTAGCTGTGACTCTCAAATAAATAAATAAATCTTTTTAAAAATATGACTATAAAAGTTCCACTCCAGGGGCTGATGCTGTGGTCCACTTGGTTAATCCTCCGCCTGCAATACCAGCATCCCATATGGGTGCCAGGTTCTAGTCCCGGTTGCTCCTCTTCCAGGCCAGCTCTCTGCTGTGGCCCGGGAGTGCAGTGGAGGATGGCCCAAGTGCTTGGGCCCTGCACCCACATGGGAGACCAGGAGGAAGCACCTGGCTCCTGGCTTCGGATTGGCACAGCTGCGACCGCAGCGGCCATCTGGGGAGTGACCCAATGGAAGGAAGACCTTTCTCTCTGTCTCTCTCTCACTAAGTCTCTCTCACTTTACCTGACCAAAAAAAAAAAAAAAAAAAGTTTCACTCCAATAACTTTATCATTATTATTTAAAAACTTGCCAAAAAGGTTGATATAATGTTTTTAGGTATCATAATTTATAAAACGTGTCACCATTTCTTTCTTGAAATTTTTACCTTAACATCAAAAAGAATATGAATACTTATTCTATGAGTCCATATTTGCCAACTGTATATAGATATAAATTCTTTATCTCAGGTGATCCTTGGAGTCGTTGTATTCTTGGGGTCCCAAAGTTAATATCAACTATATGTTCCCACTGAACTTAATATTTTCCCTTCTAAATGACTTACTACATTCTGACTTCTTTGTGTTCATGATTGTCACAACTCAATAACACAAAAGATCCATGAAGACAGAGGAAATAAATAATATTTCATCTTTATATCTTCCACAGTATTCATTTAACATTTCATTGTGTGTTATGCTTGCATAAGCATTCAGAAAGTATTTATTAAATTGCATTTGTTACTGGACACTGACTAATTTGATATAGAAGTGAAATAATCAAACAAAAATACACTTTTGTATATGGAATCTATAAATCTCATTCATTAAGTTACTTCATAGGAAAAAGTTGAAAAGATAAATAGATTCAATAAACACTGGGAACATTAAATTGTTTTAGGACTATTCCACCTAGATTTTGAATAGTTATTACATTTCTGTGACTCAAATGTTATCAGGATGTTAAGTATGAAATTACAGTGAAAAATCCTAAGGCTTACAAAACAGTTGCTATAACATTCCTTATAAAAATATTATACGAAAATAGTTAAGAAAATTTCTTGAGGAAAAACCAATGTGATACAGGTAAAATAAACTTTGGTGAGATATCGAAACTAAAAAGTTGCTTTAAACCTGTGTCTGCGAATCTTTAAAAGTTATTAGTAGATATATGCCACCTAGTGGTAATACAAATTAATATTTTCTGAAGAATTCAAAAAGCTAAGGCTTTATCTAATAAAAGAATTTTGAATTCCAGACTTATGCTCAACTGTGCATTGCATTTTAAAATTATTTTTTATTAAAGAAATGATGGGGGAGGTGCAGCATTGTGGCACAGTGGGTTAAGCTGCCACCTGCGACTCCAGCACGCTATATCAATATGAGCACCAGTTGCTCTGCTTCTCCTCCAGCACTTCGCTAATGTGCCTGGGAAAACAGCAGAAGATGGTCCAAGTCCTCAGGGCCCTGCCACCCATGTGTGAGACTGGATGGAGTTCCAGGTTCTGGCTTGGGCCTGGAGCCATTAAGGGAGTGAATCAGAAAATGGAAGATCTTGTTCTCTGTCTCTCTGTCTAGCAAATAAATAAAAAATATTTTCTTATATATAAAAGAAGTGATAAGTGCAAATTCCAACAGTATGGTATTCCAATAAATACTTCCTTCTCAGCCTAGCCACTATGTTCCCAAATGTGATAATTATTACATTTATTTTACGTCCTCCAGAAATATTGCAGCATTTATGAGAATTTATATAATTTACATAAATGATATATTTTTACAACTTTACTAATACTTAATACATTTTTTAAATTTTCTTATAGATTGCTTATTTTTGTTAGATTTAACATTTTCTAGCCCCTCAGAATCTTCTGGTAAAGAAAAATGACAAAACTACTTTGAATCTCTAAGAACACTGTATAAGCATAATACATAATACATAACAAGTAAAGGCTATAGTAAATTATAAAAGGTTATAAGTACCACATAATAAAGGAAAAGTAAGAATGATCAATCACAAGTGTTGAGAAGTGAGCAACAGAGTGATCTGGGTATCTTTTTAATGTTCTATCTTTTGCTGAGACATGCAGGGAAGTTTTATTTATTACAGATGTTAATACTTATGTTTACTTGAGAACAGAGTTTCAGAGGGCCATGCAGGCAGCCTATTAGTAGGCTTGGAGATAAGCATATCTAATACACAGTAGTTGCTCAAGAAGGACTTATCATATTTCTCAAACACTAACTTTTGGTACAATAGATTGTCAGCCACTTTTTTACACTTTTTTGGTACACTACATTTTTGCCATTCATGAATTAAAGCGAAGACCTGAAAGCAGTTGGAGAGTTAACCATTAGCTTGAAGGTAGAATATAGGCATATTCAAGAATCAGCAAAGAAGCCTGGGTGGCTGAGTCTAAATGATGATGAGGGAGATTAATAGGGAATGACATCAGGAAATTAACAAGGCACTGATCATGGAGGTCCTTGCAGCCCACTGAAGGGTCTTTGGCTATCAACTGAGTGAAATGGAAGCCACAGAAGAGCTGTTGGAATAAAACTTGATTTGGTTTAATGTTTTAAAACAATCATTTTTATAAGATTTAATTGACAGAGTTATACAGTTGAGGGAGAGAGAGAGAGGGACAGATCTTCCATCTGCTGGTTCACTCCCAAGATGGTAGCAACGGCCAGGGCTGGGCTAGGCAGATGCCACGAGCCAGGAGCTTCTTCCAGGTCTCCCACATGAGTGACAGGGGCCCAAGTACTTGGACCATATTCCACTGCTTTTCCAGGCCATTAGCAGTGAGCGGAATCAGAAGTGGAACAGCTGGGACTTGAACTGGCACCCACATGGAATGCTAGGTCTCAGGTGGCAGCTTTACCTGCTACGCCACAGTGGCAGCTCCAAAACAATCGTTCTTGTTGTTTTGATGATACACTGCACAGACACAAATGCTGATGCAGGATGACTGGCTGAGAGGCTATAGCAATAATCCAGGTGAAAATGATGATGGTATGGAGCAGGATAGTAGCAGCCACTGTAGTGAAGTGTTAGGATTCTGGAGATAATTTGATGTTAGAGCACAAAGAATTTCCTGATCAACTGAAAACTGGTAGTGAGAGAAAGAGAGGAAGACTCTAGGGCTTTTGGATTCAAAAAAGTGGAGTAGAATTTTCCATCTACAGAGATGGGGCAGCACGTCAAGAAAGTGATATTTGGGGGATGATCAAGAGTTCAGACATAGTGAGTTATCGCAACACCAAAAGGAGGACAATTCTGACATCCAAGTGGAGGTATGGTACAGTACTTGGATAAGGAAATTCAGGAGAGAGAACTTAACTTCAGATTAAATTTAGGAATATCTCACACACACACAATTTAAAGTTAAGAAATTAGAGGAGACACACAAAGGAATGAGGAACTTGATGGTTGTATGCTCATATGTGTGGTAGGTATGTCTGATTATTTATTTGACAAATGCCTTAATGATGGACATTTAAGTTCTTTCTAATATTATGAAACTTGAGACAAAGCTGCAGTAAGAAAATTTTGTTCCACATACCATTTTTGTCATGAAAGAGTATACCAAAGGATGAACTCTGAGATATCAAATTACCAGGTTTAATTTATATACATTTTGGGGCTGGCCTTGTGGCTTATCCAGTTAAACTGCCACCTGCAATGCCAACATTTCATATGGGTGACAGTTCAGGTCCTGGCTAATCCATTTCCAATCCAGCTCCCTGCTAATGTGCCTGGGAAAGCAGCTAACGATTGACCAACTCCTTGGGCACTGTACCGACATGGGAGACTCAGAAGAAGCTCCTGGCTCTTGGCTCCTGGCTTCTGGCTTCTGCTTGGCCCAGCTCCAGCTGTTGCAGCCACTTAGAGAGTAAACCAGCAGATGGAAGACCTCTGTTTC